CTACATGCGGCATTTTCCGTTGTAATTTTGTAACAGACGTGCGATATGTAAATGGAAAAACTTATTGTATTACCTCAATCTGATTGCTATCTGCGATACGCCGTCAAAGCACATGAACAATTTAATTTGATACAGCTTCAGCGCTGCATTGCGAATAAAAGATGACAAGCGATGAAGGGCTGCAGCGGTCTTGAGAAAAAAAGCAGCAATACGAATTGTCAGCTGTGGGATTTGAATATACGCGCTCAACAACATTAAGACCTGAACGAAACATCTCAGACTACACGGGCAAACTGACGGGCTGGGTACATAGCAAATTATGTACACACATTGTCAAGACATACCATGCAGATATGCCTACATGCTCTGGCAGACAGCTTGACGAGCTGCCCAAGTTCCCCGCCCTAGATCTACTCCATCCATTGTAGCGTGTCTCCTCTGATTGGTAAAGTATATTATTGCGTGCTACAAGCTTTGAGCTTATATGTCGACTTAAAGTTGCTTCAACTACGTAGAAGCAATCAGGATAGTGCGGTCATCTCAATTACTAAAAATGTGATAAAGTGCCTTATAAAAATTCCAAACGAGCCGCAGCATCACACAAGCAATCACTTGTTCTCAATTGCCTCACATGCGGTATATTCCTATTGTAACAGACGTGCGGTATGTGAATGATAGACCTACGACTGTTTCCCACTATATCATATAATACACTGTCTGGATTGATGGACGTGAGGTTACCAGTTTGCCTGTATATGGGCCTCTCCTCCACGGTGACCCATCACCTTCGTAAGCACCGATTCTTTAATACTTTCAAGTATTCTTAATTACACAAATTATGTTCGAATTTTGTGCAAAAGTGTAGTATTAAATTTGTGTTTTGTGCGTGGTGTAGATTGAGCGTACTACAGAGCGCACCTCAATAACACAATAGTACAGGGCGCACCTCGTGACACATCCAGCATGGAACTTTATCATCTTCAGGATGTAAGCTAGTTAAGATTTCTCTTCCACTCGTAAGGCTGACCATCGACACACACAATTGCGGTGGAGGAGGGGCCTGGAATTTGAGAAGAGGAGAAAATCACCTAACCAAGGAATAACCCGTTGATAATCGTTCAGAGTGTACCACGGTTGATATTCACAAGATTGCCAAAGGTGCTGCTTCATACGTCATAGAGATCAAGAGCAAGTAAGCTATTCCAAACAGCTCTGCACGAAAACTAAAATGTATTACAACAAAATCTAGTGATCAAGTCTGAGATTTATGTGGTCTGCGCGTGACAATTTCTAGACCACTAAGCGCTGTTATCCATAGAAGCGATGGTCATGAAGTTTATTAAGTGGGGAGTAAATGAGTGTACTGTGGGATGAACACTAGCCAAGCAACTGAGAGCTC